GCAGCGCATTTACAACTTGGAGTTGTATCGAATGTACATCGAATAACAGCAATGCCAATCTCCTGAAGCACCTAACTAATGTACATGTGGGGAGTTGTCTTTTCTCTTACTGTGCCAGAACAACACAAAAACTTGTATTTGTATTGTTATTATTTTTAAAGTAAAGTAACTTGTTACTAGTTACTTTTAAAATTTAGTAACTAATAAAGTAACTAGTTACTTTTTTGAGAGCAGTCTATAACTATTACTAGTTACTTTTTAAAAGTAACATGCNACTATTTTCAATTTGTGGGGATAAAGGACGCAAAATATATTACGGTCAAATGTAAACTGCGTGCAGGACAGAAAGCATTGTCCACATCGAATAACAGCAATGCCAATCTCCTGAAGCACCTAACTAATGTACATGTGGGGAGTTGTCTTTTCTCTTACGGTGCCACAGAACAACACTAAAACTTGTATTTGTATTGTTATTATTTTTAAAGTAAAGTAACTTTTTTGAGAGCAGTCTATAACTATTACTAGTTACTTTTTAAAAGTAACATGCCCAACACCATGGTGTTCTCCCACCTTCACGTGGCAGGAAAACCTCCCTATAGAGGCAGCCAGGTGGCAAACCTTACTAGGTGCTGGAACACCTCAACAAGGAGCAGCGGCTCTACTCCGAGTTCCCTCCCGGAATACTGCACTTCTCATCCCTGAGCGAGATGCCAGCCACCATCCGGAGGAAACCCAATTTGCCGCTTGTATTCGTGATCTCGTTCTTTCGGTCATGAGCATACAGTAGGTCGAAGTATGAAGATGGAGCGGTAGATCGAGAGCTTTGCCTTCCGGCTCAGCTCTCTCTTCGTCACAGTGGTGCAGCCCATCTCGTGCTCCATTGTCCCCTCGAGAACAAGATCCTGAGACACTTGAACTTCTTCACTCGGGGGATATTTCAATGTGAGATGCATGTACTGTAGATTCGCTTCACTACCATACAGGTCATATACAGTACATGAGAGATTCATGTGGGATCAAAGGTGTCAAGGGAGGTGTGCAAGTGATAACACAGGATCTCAAATTATAACCTATTAGCAGAATAATCAGCGTACTAATTAACTAGTTAGATTATCTATTAAGTAATTCATTTATTGGAGTTACCCACCCATATCGGATTGTACAGATTCCCCGCCTGTCACTTTCCCCTATTAATGTATAGAAGCTATTCAGCCATTTTAATCTTTGCATAACATACCTGTAATCTCAATTATCACATTTCACTAATATAGCAATTGTTCAATTAATAAACTACCTTTCTGAGCTTCAATATCTCGTGTCCTTTCTCTCCATGCAGCCCACGCTCTCTCTGAGGGCATTATTCAGTAATTGTGGTGTATATACGGTCTTTTCCCACCTCCCCTACCGGTCATCCAAAGACCCTTACTACCAGACACTCTGGCTGTGGTTAACCTCACTCTGCAAATAGAAAATGTGTTTTTTCCATTTAAAACCCAGTGGCACGTCAGAATAAGTGTATTAGGTGTTGAATAAGTACAAGAAGAAAGAACAGAAAGTGTATTTGATTTAGTTTGATGCTTCTTCGTATCAATGCCGTAACAAATGCTCTGCGAGCCTTTTGTTGCAATGAGCTGGTTCAATGAACTGATGTAGATTGTAGAAACAAGTTTGCTTTGTTAAAGTGCTACAAACCAAATAAATAAGCTTAGAAAAGTGGTTGAAGACATTTAGGAGGTAATACAAAATGTTCTCAAGCTAAGTTGCACAAATAAAACAAGCCTATATACTTTTAGTTGGATTTGCTTACTTCCTTTTCAAAATAACGTTTATAAAATGTATTTCATTATTATATTAAAGTACATGAATCATATAATTAACATGCACCCCTTATTAATATTCTCTTTTCTGTACGTTGTGGTTGAAAGTTTTAAAGAGGACATATTATGCTCATATTCAGGTTCATATTTGTATGTTGTGACATGTGTGCATGCGCTTTAATGTTGAAAAAGGTATTTTTCTCACACTGCAGCACTGCTTTTCACCCTACGTCTGAAACCAGAGCCCAGTCTGCTCTGATTGGTTAGGTGGCCGGCTCTGTTGTGATTGGCAACTGCTTACAGATGTCCCGCCCCTTAGAAGAGTATGTGGGAGAGAAACTCCCTCTGGAGGGAAACACAGGGATTGTAGCCTTTGCAGACCATTTACATGCACACAAACCTATTGAACACATTACAGAGCATAATAGGGCCTCTTTACCTTGGTTGAAGATTTCAAACTGTTAGAGAAAAAGTCAGAAGTTGGAAATTACTGATATAAACTTAAAATGTCACTTCAGTCAAGAACATTTCTCATGTAGCTTATTTCACTAGACACACACGCCACTAGGCTAACACTGAAGTACAAAGGACAAGTAAGTGTGTGGTACATTTAGTATTGCCTGATGCATGGTCTGATACTGAACACATTTGAAACACTGCACAAAATATATGAACGATTCACATTCAACTTACCAATCCACTCACATAACAGTATGCACACACTCGTACACACACACACAGACAATCTAATGGTGTCCTCTGACATCAAGATGAGTTACTTCAAAGGGTTTTGCTCAGAACGCTCCCGCCTCTGATACCTTAAAAAACTCCCCAGAGTCTTGGCGAGTGTTGAGCAAACTCTAACACACACACCTCAGCAAAAACACACTGATTGGTCCCAGCGTAGAGCCACATAGAGGACGGGTGAAAACCTACAAGAAAGAGAGAGAAAAGAGGAAGAGAATTTTCCTTTTGAGAATATATTTAATGATACATTTATTATTACTTCATTTCTTTACACGGCGCTTCGTGTCTTGCTTGTGTTGAGCACACCCTAGTTGTATTAGTGCAGGCATCCTCTAACAAGCTTTATGGGCTTACTTCTGCAGGGCATCACACCAAACTCTCCTGGCACAGGCTGTATAAATAGCCAGCACACTCTTCTACAAAGTCAGCAACGTAGGGCACAGTGACAAAGTTTGAGGACTCCATAAGTTGTTATAAAACTACAGATACATGCATAACTTTTCTCTTTTTTTCACACATGCTTTGCCTTGCAAAAGGTGTTGAAGCCAGAAGATTGAACTCCCTGCTGGCGGCACTAACTGCTTTTGATCTCATTATAAGGAAAACACCTCTGATTGCATCTGTAAGGCAAGAAGGCAGGCAAATGAGCCCATTACACGTGAATATCAGTCTTTAAAAAGAGAGAGTTAAGGTGCAAGGCGAATGTACAAAGACACAGAATTCTGTAATGTGAGAGGTGCAAAATCAGTGAACACCCAGCGGTTGCTAAGCCACCAATCACGATTACTAGCCAAGTTGCTGCAAAGACTAATTATTGTTGCATACCATGCTGTGCAGCTCAGTCAGATCTCCTCTCACCCAACACAGACCTCCTCAAAAAGATAAAAGCATGGCCCCGGGAGAGAGGCACGAAGCAAAGTGTCTTACCTCATGGAGGAGAGCAGGAGTCAAGAGCAACCCATACACACCACCAATTTCAAGTTCCCTAAATTAAAAGTGGATGAGAGCAGAGACGATCAAAACCAGCCACCTGGCAAATATAAAATACGTGACCTGCCCTATCAAAATCAGTCTTTATACAACCCCAAAACACATTTTGATGTGTATGCACTGTTGGAAAGAGATTCTCAGCTTTGCAAAGATGTCCTTAATGCTTTCATTCTCCAAATACTCAGTAATATATTTCATATAATGTCATGACTCTTATCAAGACATGAGGCCTTCAACCTTTGTGGACCCATTTTGAGCCATAGTTATTTTAAGAGGAGGCTCAATTCTTAATATTATGGAGGCAAACTACCGCTTGCCAGACAGACCCAGGGAGGGCAGTGATCACTGAAGTTGAATCCCCGTCTAGACAAGCTTTAAAAATATATTTATCGTCTGAATATAAAAGTTTAATATTCTGGAAAACGTTGTTTAAAATCAGCCACGGTTTTGACATAAATCCACAAAATGAGTCTTTCCGACATTCCACTGATTTCGATAGAGCAGGTAACATATCATCTTTATTAGAGATGTCCCGATCCGATCACATGATCAATGATCGGAGCCGCAGACAGACCCAGGGAGGGCAGTGATCACATGATTTTCAAAAGATCTGAATCAGGAGAAAAAAATCGGGGATCAGGGAATTATTATTTTTTATTTTTATATAAAATATTTCCATTATTTTATTTAATGTTTCAAAACAAAAATGACCATGTTCAAGTCTTAAAGTCATCCTGAGGCCTTAGTTTTGGTTTATAATTACACAACATCATGTATGTGTTGCTTCTTTTGGGCTNNNNACCACACATCAATATGTACATCGCCATGCATAACCTGGCGTTAGACTTTTTCGCTGTCCGTCATTTTGACAGAGCGAGGATCGTAAAATAGCCCTGGTTGCGTCGGTGACATAAATAGCAGAATGAAACATCCATTAAACTCAGTGTGCTGCTCTGTGATGCTTACGCTCAGATACTTAGCATCTCATCTTGGTTGCAGGCATCAATGTTTGGCTCAGGCTCTGAGCGAGGAGACCCTCAGGATGGAGTGAAGTTTGCGTGGCAATATACCGGAGGGCCCAGATCGAATAGGAATTAAAATTATCCCTGCGGGCCGAAATAAATCCACCAAGGGCCTGATTTGGCCCCCGGGCCTTGAGTTTGACACATGGTGGTGTAAGGCCACAAGCACACTCACTCACCAGTCTAGGCTGCACAGTTAATAAAAACTTAATGAGGTACTTTTTAAAGATTATCTGAGTTGTTTTCAAACGTGTGTCACAATGGAGGGCTCGTCTTATTTTTAAGCTGCAAACTGAATTACCTTAGGTCCGAATGAAACAACCTCAGCTGTGGTTTCTCCCACCATTACACAACGCTGCTGTCCTCATGCACCCCCAACTCACAGTCCTCTCTGGCTCCATCTACGCGCACAATTACCATTAACCTTTAATGTTCGGCGGCGGGCCAGGGGGGGGCTGGGCGGCCCTTCCAGCGGACCTTGTACTTCTCCTCCATCATGCTGTGGCCTCAGAGAGATGCGGTATCGTCCACGGATGACGAGTCGCTGCCGGAGGCCGCTGAGCAGACAGAGTGGCTCTGCCATCTGAGCCCAGAGCTTCTGCTGATCGTCCACCAGCCAACAGCAGACAGTCCTTACAGCTCTGTCTCATCTGCAACCAGGGAGGGGGACAGGGACGAAGGAAATTCATCACAACCATATATTTTACACCCATTATATTCCCTTACAGAGAAAAAACAAGGGGGGGGGGGGGAGGGGGGGGGGTGAAGGCACACACAACACACACGTAAAGTTACCACATTGCACCACAGCTCCAGGTGTTTCCGAAAGGATCTCATGACACTTAGAGCTTGATTAAAGCAACTTGTACTCTGTTTCTAAATAAGTACCGTAATTTTCGGACTATAAGCCGCGCCTTTTTCCCATTTTTCAACGCTGCGGCTTATATAACGGTGCGGCTAATCTATGGATTTCTACAGCTAACGGCCACTAGGGGACCTCCTAAATCTATGGATTTTACAGGTTACAGTCCACCACCTTTAACTCTATGGGCTCTATGGCCGGTCCGCGCCCCCCACCTTTAAGCGGCGGGCTCCAGCAGGAAAAGATGGAGGCCGGAAAAGAGTGAGACAGGTAGCGCGCAAAAGTAAAAGTGGAACCGAGAGTGGTACGAGAGACAGAACGAGAGCAAGACAGACAGACATTACGAGAGCGAGACAGTTTGTCCCCGTACCACTGGTTGAAAACCACTGCTGTAGATCACTGCCGGTACGTGCGCTGGGAGCGCACCGTTTAAGTTTGAAAGTTGAGAAGTTTGTGTGTCTGAAACGCTATGTGATACAGTACAGTTTACACAGTACATGTTCTGGAGCTACTATTGCACTGCGGCTTATAGTCCCAAAATTACGGTAAATAAAAATCCCCCCCCCATTCAATATGTTCTGCACTCTCACATCAGCCTTTTGTTGTGATGTTGTTCAAGAGAAGACATGCTTCTTCACGATTTCATACAGCAGTGGTGCAGAGAAGATGAGACGAGTTAAAATAGCCGCTCTGAATCCACTTAAGCTTCATGAAGACCGGCCGGAGGTCAGCTGTGCTCCTCTGTCAGGACAGATATGTACCGCAGGACTTATTATAAATTACCCATGGTAAAATTAGCCTGCCCTGGATAATGCCAAATGTGAAGGGGTTGATTAAATCTTTCAAAAAGATCCACCAATGAAGAGAGAAGTCAACACATTGGACTGGACGGAAAAAAGCTTAATTCACAACAACCGAATGTCCCGTAAGAGTCCCGTATTTTGCAAAGTTAAAAGGTTGGAGCTACTAATTGATTTGATTATTTAAACATGTATTTTTCTTGCTGTTTTTGTTTATTAAGTCATTCTTTCATTTAATAAAGAAGGCGTTGTGGTTTTATTTTGAAGGCAGCTTAAAGCACCAGGTGAGGTGATGGTATTTCTTTGAGAGCATCTCGTTATAAAACAACATGTGGGCTTGAACTTCTTATATCATATTATTCCAGATATTTGAACAAAGATATGGAAAAGAAGAAGTTTACAGTTCTAACTACCGCAACTGTTCAGAGATCAAGTTACACTGAACATCAGACCGGACTCACTTCCTGCTTCACTCAATCAAATAAAAAAACAACCCATTGGAGACTAGCCTCTCTGTACTAGCACAGCCTGTATCCACTGAGCATGTACCACGCCCCTGCACCCCCAGCTTATCTCCCCCCAGCATGACACTGTCCCACCCCGACAGCAAGTCTCGGGGGAGAGACTAAGATATATGTGTTGGGTTTGGATATTTGAAAAGGGTTTATGTTAAAATATTGTAAAATGTAAATTATTAAAACATTCTGAAACTTGTTATATAAGGTTTTTGTATGGATTTGGTTACAAATGCCTGGTTGAAATTAAAAATATGTCAATTTGCCACGAGATTTCCCGCTTTTTGCACGACACATGTTGCAGGGACTACTAGAATATTCAGTGTATTGCAAAAAAGCATAACGATACAGAGGTATTATTTAAAGGCCATGTTACGCTGGATGCTACCCTTCTGTTGACCGCATTGTAACGCCTCCCCAGATTACACTGCGAGGTAAAGAATACCCTCTCACACCTGCAGGCAGAGTGATCGTTTCACAGTTTCCACACCTCACGTGCCGGCCAGCAGGACATGCACTCATCAGCAGTGAAACTGATCAACACAGAGCGTTGGCGGCCATGTGTTGAAACGGTCAGTATCTAGTCCTCAGCTACGTGTTGTGAGAGCTCCCAGCGTGGTATTCATTACCCCAGTTGGAAACAGAAAGGCGTAAAAACAGCCAGAGTCGTAGTAACAGGAGGACAGAGTGCGATGTTTCTATTTCTATTTGTATTGGTGGTCTTCCTACTTGGCTGCCGGCCCCAGTCCCAGGTCTCGATGATGGAGTGATGCACGGAGGTGGACGTCTCCTCCTCCTCTTTCTTCTCTTTGTCGTTGGGTTCATCTTTTTTCTGAGTTCCAAAGCAGTCGGTGCAATCCTCTGAAATGATCAAGAAAACATATCTGACATTAAAGGTAGGCTAGGTAGGAATGGAGAAACCAGCTCGAGTGCGCTAGAATTTGAAAATACACAACCATTAAAAATCTACCACTTCCTTCAGACTTCCTCACAGAGCCCCTCCTCCAACACACACGAACGCTCACATGACCAATGAGGGCACGAGATAAGTTTGTGCCCAGATGGAAGGCTGACAGGCAGGTAGGCCATCCAGTTATTTTAGCCGGGCCGGCTCAGATGATTGGTCGTGCTTTTTACAGCGCTACGGCTTCCACAGATGATTTTTTTTTTATGTAATTATTGTCAAAGCATTTCATGTATTCATCGCTATCTGGATGTTAAGAGCATTCCATGGAATATAACAAAAAGTGTTTCTGAAGGGAATTACCAACCCCACCTTTAACTTCAAGGCTATTGAGGATTTCGAATCAAACCATCGTTCAATGGTCACACGAATTTACAGAACAACACACACACAATGAAATAAAGACGACTTATTATGCTGATTACGGGGGGGGGGGGTAGTGTGGGAGATTTTAGCCTTTGCAGACCATTTACATGCACTCAAACTTATATAACACACTACAGGAAAGGGACAACCCCCAAAAGCACAACAGGGTCTATTCAACATCCAAATGTACTTTAAGTTCATAATAATAATAATAATACATTTATTTTATATAGACCCCTTTCAAGGCTCTCAAGGTCGCCGTACAAACACACAAAAAAACAGATACACAATACATAACACCAGCAAAAGAGATATAAACAACACAAAGCAGTATATCAAAACATTTAAAAATAAAACAGAGGATGTCTGATGGATAATGATCAGGGTGGATATGCGAGAGTGAAGCCATATGTTTTGAGACGTGATTTGAAAATGGGGTGAGAGTCAGTGTCGCGGATGTCAGGTGGGAGAGAGAGTTCCAGAGGCGGGGTGCAGAGCGGCTGAAGGCTCTAGACCAGAGCTATTCAATTAGTTTGGAATGGGGCCGGTTGATGAAACTAATCCAAGGCAAGGGGCTGGGAAAAAGATGGCTTGAAATATGAGCAATCCTATTAAGAGCTTCAGATACAGTAAATACTACAACAGCATAGTGGAGTGCATATATTGTGTTTAATTCAATCAAACAACATAGCCCCAAGGACTATAGATCTAAATGGCAAGTTCAGAACTCAGTAGGCCGACATGTGAAGCTCATTTAACCATCAACATCATTTCATTTCATTTAGGTGAAATTATCTAATCATTCACGCAATCAATGACAGGAGTTGTCACTACAGTAGCTAGTAGGTGGGTTCGAAACCCGAGCCCGCTGAAGTTTTCAGGCATTGTCTTCCCCTCTATCTCTCAATTTAACACCCTCTCTGGAATAAAGGCACTCTGGCCAGAAAATAAATCTTTAAAAAAATTAATTAAAAAAAGTAGATTACTTTTTAACATTATACTCAAAGGGCCAGTAAATATCACCCCGGGGCCGGATTTGGCCCGCGGGCCACATATTGAATAGCCCTGCTCTAGACCCCATGGTGGTTAAACGGAAGGGGGGTGCAGTGAGGTGGAGGGAAGCAGAAGACCTGAGAGTGCGGATGGGTGTGTTGATGTGCAGGAGATGGGAGCGAGGGGAGGGGTTAACTTAGTTGTTGGGGAGAAGGGCCTCTTCCTGAGAGGATTATAACGGATCTAACTATAGAACTGTTATATAGAGCGGTGTTGATGTAATGTCAAAGTATTGTTTTGAAGAGATATCTGCTAAAAAAAGATCAAAGGTAAGGCTTGTTTTCCCGCTTCTGATGCTTTGGTTTCAGACAAGTAATACAAACGGTTACACAATCTATATATACAAGTGTACACACAGTCTAGGGTCAGCGGCTCAATAACACTAACTTTAGCTTAGGCCACAACCCCCCCCTTAAAGTTTATAAAATAGCAATGTTATTTTGACCAGCTCTGACCAGCTCTACATATTCTTCCTTTGCTGTTAATGAGTAGATGACAGTATATTTAGACGGTATGAACCCTGAAGCTGAGGGGAAATGCCGCCCTCTAATTCTAAGGATCAGGTGACTTGGATTTACCCGTTGAACCTTTAAAATGCCAACGCTGTCAGCAGCTCATGTATCATCCCTAGACAGTGTGTACAAATGTACCGTGCCGTCACAAACAGCAGCCATGTGTGGATTGGTAAACAACATGGAGGGTGAATGTTGAAACCTCCGTGAGACATACCTGTGTGAGCGGACTCTTCTCCGCTGAACGTTATCTCCTCGTCTTTCACCATTTCATTCCACATCTCACTCAGACCCTCTGGAGAGAACGCCCGCTGACAAAGACAGAGAGAGACACCGAAACTCAGCAACGCAGCACATTTATTATCAGGGTGTATGCAGGAATCCTGAAGTCAAATGTAATACCTTTTAAGACCCTTTCCATACATTTTAAGACCTCATCGCCACTTGGAGTTATAACCGGTTACCTTGGCGACACACTTTACCTCACATTGACTATAATACAGAATTGATCGTCCTTTCTCCTTATCTTCCAATCATTTGGACGCAAAACTTGCATTTCCCCATAACGATGTTGGTTAACAACCGGCGTAAACGGACCGTCAGACATTATTAGACACACAAAGACACGTAACAAAAAGCTGGATAATATAATATTCTGTGATGATATAATACTGGCAATATGTATGCTGAAAACATTTAGGTTTTGATACTTGAGGTACATTTTGCTCATAATACTTCTGCACTTCTACTTAAGTAACATTTCCAAGACTTTTACTCGAGTATTTTAGGACCATATTATCTGTACTTATACTGAAGTAAATAATCAGAATACTTCTTCCATCACTGCTGCTGCTGCTGCTATGTTTGCTGTAATGCATTTTTGTTTTCTAAATACTCCTGGTACCCACTGAGAATAATAGTGTTATAATCTAGTTTTATATAAGGTAGTTACATTTCTGAGTTGAACATGGAGAGATTGGTGCAGTCTCAGATGTGCACATGCACAATTTCACTTGAGTACGAAAGTACAAAT